GGAGGGAGGGGAAGAGAAAAGGGGGGGAGGAGGAAGAGAGAGAGAGAAAGATAGAGAGAAAGAAAGAAAAAGAGAGAGGGAGAGAGACTATGATTGGAGGGTATTTACTCTGCAACCCATGACAAACATCCCCAAATAGAAAGTTTCAAATCCTTTAGCCCTATGCCCAGGCATACTTTTGCATAAAACAAGTTGACAACCCTCTCTGACTGATTTTTAAAAAAAAACATTACAAAAGCAAGTACTTTAAAATAATACACACAATTAAAATTCAAGCTGAGAATTTTTATCAGCTACAGCCGCAGAAAACAAATGAAACAGAGATGCTAAATATAGTACTCAAACAAGAAAAAGCCCAGAGCCCTTTACACAGAAGTGTAAAGTTGATTACTCTCAGGCATGTTCTCAGGTTCAAAGCGTTAATATTTGATAGGACACACTCCTAGACCTAAGCCAATTATTCTACAACTGTGTGAGGCAGCGTGGTGAATCAGGCTCTCGTCAATTTCTGGGCACGTCGAGTTATTGGTGTCATCTTAAAGCTTGTTCAATTGTCTTTATTCGTATGAGAAAAATACACATTTATCTTGAATACAAATCGAGATATTTGTGAATGAAGGTAGAGGAGGTCATTTATTTTGAGAGCAAAAGCCAAAGATTAGTTATTTCTTTAGCTTAAAAGTCCTTGGTAACTTAAAATTTACATTTTTTGTGCCTTTAATCGTTTTTCAGAAAAATCCATACAGAAATGAGTTCTTTAATGGGCATGAAAGGTGTTGAGCCAAAACCAAAAATTTGATAAAAATGTAAAAACCTACGGAAAAATGCAAGTTTCTTCATTTTGATTATTTTGACGAGAGCCTGATTCCCCAACGCTGCCTCATAACATAATCCATTGTTTGTTTGTCTGAGTAAAGAGAAGCACATTGACACAATAAAGTTATATAGTACAGGGAGGAAACAAGTTACAAGGCAGAAACAACAGAGGGAAAGAAAAGAAGTAGAACCTAACAGTGGCGCCCTGCAACCAACTATGGTATCTGCTGAAAGGGACACCGGTAAATAGACAATACCCAGCACTACTACTTCATCTTTGATTGTGTTCACTGACATTCCATTGCATATTTTATAAACTCTTCATGAATTAATTCTTAAACTTCTCACCTGAAAATGAGAATTCTGTAGATGGACCACATGTTTCTCGTTGCAGCAGTGGAGAAGAAATTCCAAAACAACAAATAGCAAGATAAGGCAGACTATGAAATATGAGAGAAGCTTTCCATTGTACTCCTGAAAAAAAAAAAATCTAAAAAGAGTGCAAAGCAAACAAAACAGCTCAGACGTCCATTCCATAAAATGTTTCCAAATGAGTAAAAAATCAAAGTGACACTAGCAAGTTTTTGGATAAATTTTGGAGGAACGCTTTTTTTAATGGTTACGCTGACAAAAAACCTCTTCCGGAGGAAAGGACGATGTTTTCTTTGTTTAATTTGACTTTAGAATGAAAGGCGAGAGGTCATTAAAATAAGAAAACCTAAAACTCCGCACTGAACGAACCCAAACTGCTGATGAACAGCAGACGATCTGCGCACGCAAGGAGGTGCTATTCCTATTCTTCTTCTGGAAAAATGAAAGAGAGCTTCAAAACAGACTGTAGCGCCATCTGAAGCAAAGAGCGGACTTCCGGTGGACAATTTTTTGGCTGAGTGGACCATCTTGTTATGTACTATCTTTGATACACCTCAAATCATATGAAAAGAGGGCTGCTTCAAACTAGGGAAGGGCAGGTACCAGTACCCAGTACCGAAACTCCCGATTCTACCGAAGGAGGTGTCAGTACCAGCACCAGGCCTCCAGTACCGGCTCTGGGAAGGAGCCGACACCTAGACGCTCAGAGAGTAAGAACATATAGGCAGACACCAACAGTTTTTTAAACGGGCCATGGGAAGTGTGCTGTGTGTAGGCCTGGGCCTAGGAGCTGTGACGTCAGATGCACACAACACAGCTGGTGACCTTGATACAGGACTTCCGATTCAAAATTGAAATAAAAAACGAAGTTTGCTTAAATGTAAATATGGCATCAAATCAGGTCCCACGCGAGCCACTTTGCTTACTTCGATACGCTGATTCTGAAAATGAAATCAATTTTTAGCGGTGATAATTATCTAAAAAATTTTGCATGCAAAGTTTAATCCCGCGTGGTGGCAAACTTCAAAGGTATTTTACGTCACAGTTCGCCTCTCTAATTATGACGTGTGTGTGTGTGTGGGGGGGTTGGATGCAGGTGGCGCTGATCGTGGTGTTCGACGCGAGACGCACAGTCTATGACTGTGACGTCACCTCCTGGTGTCACTCCCAGTACCGGTACCGGTACTGGCGGTTCTCGGCAGCTATAAGCATCATCCTGGGCTGAACAGGATACATTATCCCATCAATTAGTTGGAGATACTCAGTATAGAATAACCCTCACCATTCGGGAATCAAACTCAGGTCTTCTGCACACAAAAGTAAAGAGCGTAACCATTACAAATTCAAATCTGAATGGGTTCAGCATTTCTTGTGTCTCTCAGAATATCTGCTGTCAGCCTAGTGCAATATTGGGGAACCCAGCATCTCACCTTTGAAACTACCTACTTTGCATCTGGTAGGAATTAGATTTTCTAAAAGAGCGAATCAGATAAGACAACATTTTAATAAATCTCTACATTGGGAATTTGTTGCAGTACTTTAAATATGTATACAGACACACATTAACACACTCACACACACTGACTCAACTGACCTGCAGAATAGCCCCACTGTACACAGGGATGACCGATACAGTCAGAGACAAGGTCCAGAAGATGAAGAGAATGCAAGGGCTCGCAACTCCATGCTTTTGAGATACCAGAATCAAACCACAAGCGAGAGCCTGCATACATAACAGAAAAGCCAGGTCGCATTAAATTTTTCTTTCAGGATTCATTAAGGAAAATTACATGAACCAGAAATGGCATTGACGACGATAAAGCCAGGCTTTGCAAAAAAACAATGAATGGAAGCTTGCTGAGAAAGCCTTTGAAATATAATATTCCACTGAAACAACATATATTCATTACATATAATCTAAAATCAATGATGAAATAGAACAGAAAAAGCAAAATTGGCAACCCACTTCGGCCGTTTCAGAGAGAAAAAACATTACCAAAAAAAAAGGGAAGCTAAAATTTATGCACAGTACTAAGTTTAAACTAAGTTAAGTTTTTCTTTATAATTTGCAATGTGATTCTACTCAAGTGACAAGTACCAATTTTGTGACATTCCTTAAAAATCGTTAATTCAAGCTGTCCACAGAAAAAAAAAAAATTTTTTTAAATCAGTATACAGTAGTACTCACACAGGTAACAGCCCAGAGCCCTTTACACAAATAAAATGAAGGAGACAGGTCTGGCCCAAACTCTTCACTGGCAGCAGCAATATGAACCAGATGGAGAATGCAAAGGGTAGGACTGAAGATCTGTGAAATGTTTTTTTTGGTTTTTTTTAAAAGAAAAAGTCACAGAGTTATCAACATTGTTTGCAATGCTGGACCAGCAAAAATATAATATATTGAACACTTCTGCTCAGTAGAAACATACTGCATAAAGATTTTTCTTTTGGTCAATAGTGAATGTATTAAATATAAGGTGGCAACTTGTGTTTGTAGATTGGCAGGCTACAAATATGAAATTGAGGCAATCAGTGAATACTCATTGGCGAGTGGCAGTAAAGTTGCCCTCTTAAGTTGTGACAGTCATTTGGTTTGTTTTTTGTTTGAGTAAAAAGAAGCACGCTGACACAATAATGGTCAATTAGTGCAGGGAAAAAGTAAGACAGACAGACAGAAATTAATAACAGAGGGAAAGTAAAAAAGTAGGACCTTCCAGTGGCACCCTCCAACCACCCAATCAGTCATTTGATTGTTAGGGCCTCCACAGTCCTATGCATGAAGTCCACCAATGTAAGATATACGAGTATTACATGTAGAATGTTCCCCTCCAGCTGATCCAGGAAGAGTATTTGACGACAGATCTCCTTCAAGGATAACTGTCACAAACGACTCTGCCCTACAAGTTAGTTGGTAGTATAGTCCTTTTTATTCATAGTACTCTTAAGGTCTTAAAGTGATAAACACTTTGTCTCCAATTGTTCTGTGATACTATGACTCTGCTTGTGGGTTACCATTACAATCTAAAGAGTGTAAGTGTGCACGTTCAAGCACATTTATTTTGTGCCGAAATGAAGGTACTGTAAAGCAGTCAGAGGGAGTGGGCACTAAAGAAATTATCTGCATTATTATTACTATCATTATTTGTATTATAATTATAATCATTATTATCTTTAAGCTAACTCCACCTGATTGTTCCCTATGATACTGTAAATGACCAAGGCCACTTGTGCCTGCTTGACATGACCTCCCCTTACTCTATTTGATATCTTCTATCGCCTCCAGTCAGTGGTATAAGACTACAGTAAGGCTACTTAAACTGATAATTAATTTCTTTACACCTTGAGAACTTCACAGCCTATGGATTAGGATATAAGACAGATTCTCTAGTGTCTCGGATGTTGACTTTTTAAAAACTTTGGGTGAACATTACCTCTTTCATCACCACACATTTCTCTGATATGGATAGTAACAAGAGTAAACTTCAGTGAATATTCACAAATTGATGCTAAGGTTATAAATACAAAATAACATTTTAAAAATAGATTTAGTATATATATAGAAAGTCAGTACCACCCTATATATCATTAATTCAACTGAGCTTAAGAACACTGTGTCAAGCAGCGAACACTATTTCAGACAGCTATCTTAGCTGATGCTGTAAATAAAGAAATCAGAAATAAAAATATGTAGTATAGTAGATGATAGCAGGGTAAAACGAATTAAATCTTCAGAGGTGACTTCACTTTTGGAAGCACTCTTGTCACCGCTATATTGTACTCATTAGACAAACAACACACTTACCAACTTCAAGACTGTCAGCCAAGATATGGGCAGCTCTATATATCTGCGGTGCCTTTTGAGGTAGATGAGATGAGGAATGCATGTCAACCATAGCCAGCCACATGGCGCAAATGTAAGGACTGTTTCTTGAAAACAGTCTGTGAACTGGGGCCACCAGTTGTTCAATAGGGCTTCTTTGTCCTGATGAAAAACAGACGCTTAATGAAAAACATGATAATTTATATATATGTATAAAAAGAAAATAATAAGTTCACTCAAACTCAAATGGCTGGTATATTGACTAAATATTATTATCTATGAAAGTGAAAGCAATATGAACAAAATCTGCAAGTACTTGATTAAATTCTCATTCAAGGTCCCAATGCATGTCTAGTTCAAGCCAGAATTTAACTCATAGAAAATGGTATATTAAATAAGACAAGACAAGCTCTAAGACAATTAGGCCTAGCTTGAGTCCAAAGGGTTTTAAATGTGTTTACTCAAATTGTTGAAAAATCTCCAACAGCTCTTTTTTGTTCCTCTTCATATTTGATGCCATGGAAGTTAATTAGCTGAGGAAAAAATTTGAAGGAGGGGGCTATTTACTGTGTTGTTTATTTTTTACCAGGGTGGTGCTTCAGTTAACGAGAACATGACAAAAAGGCAGTGAAAATTGAACATTGTCCATATATTGTCAAAACAGTAGTTCTCCTGAACACACCACACCTCTACCAGCACTGACCACTTTGTCTACCATAAATCTTATTTCGTTCCCCTAACAACATTTTCTCAAACAGGCTCAACAGAAGCCCTTCATAATTATGATGAGGAACCTGCCTGTTTTTATTCATCCTCATCCATTCATGACAAGAAACTCTAAATGTCTACATTGGGGGCTCTCATGGTCTAGAGGTTAAGGTGTTCACTTCTTATTCAATCGGTCGTGGGTTCGAATCCAGACAGCCATGGAAAATTTTCTGCTATAAAATTTTTTCCTTTCATATATCCTTTCCTGCTCTCAAACAAAGTTCTGTTGTCTGCTTTAGTCTCCACTTTCTGCCCCCACCCCCAAACCTCCTCTGGGCTCCAGACTCTTTCTGCAGCCTTTCTACTGCTACTCCTTGGCTCCCTCTTACTGCTGTCTTTCAGCCACACCCCTGATCTTATGGTAAGAAAGATCTACACCTAGCCTTCGCGGACGAGGGCGAAAAATCTCGAAGGTCACGTGGGCAAGTTGCGCACATTAAAGATCCCTTTGTGGTCCAAAATCGATAACAGTAAGCTTCGGCCGCCACCCGGGTAAAATTTGAAAATGTTTGCTGTGTCCCGCGCGCTAACATGACCTTATGCAGTTGCGAGCGCCACAAAACACTTACCCCCCAAAAAAATAGGCCGGCTCTATTTCTAAGAATGTTCGGGTAAATAAACTTGAACTCCATTTCTCCGAACGGTTTCTGTTCTCGAGTTTCTTTTGGTTATTTGCGAATGGAGTGTGTGTGTGTGTGTGTGTGTGTTTGTGTGTGTATGGGTGTGTGTGTGTGCTGGGTGAGTGTGTGTGCGTGTGTGTGCGTGTGAGTGTGGTGTATGTGATATGTGAGAATGAGTGTGGTGTATATGTGTGTGTGTGTGTGTGTGTGTGTGTGTGTGTGTGTGTGTGTGTGTGTGTGTGTGTGTGTGTGTGTGTGTGCGCGTGTGCCGTGTGCGTGTGTGTAAGGTGTGAACAGGGCGGGGTTTTTTTTGGTGTGATTTAGTTTTTGCTTTAGGGGCGACTAAATGCAAAATAGGTTACTGCGAAAGTCAAGCAGTCTTGTTTTCTCGCAGTACCTTTTGAAGGCACTTTCAAATTACGTATACGGGAATGTTGCCCCAACTACAATTAACGTATCCGAATATTCAGACAACTAAAAACTTCTAGCTTCTAGCTCTAGAAATTGAATTGGATAAAAAAAAAAAAAGAAGCTTATTCCAGTCTTCGCTGAACGGAGAATGAAAGATGACGCCGAACTCTCGAAAATTTACCAAAAACTCGAGAACGGAGACTGTTAGGAGAAACAGAGTTCAAGTTTATTATCCCGAACGTCCGGAGAAATAGATTTAGTCACTTCGAAAACAAAAATGTCTACACTGAAATAAAATTTTAGATCTAAATTTAGTTGTAGATATAATCTATCTATTTATATCTATTTAGTCTAGATTCTAGATATAGATCTAGATCTAATTAAAAAGTGACAAAACTTTATTTTTCTTTTTAGCCGACAGGGAAAATGACAGGGAAAATTACACACGTAGGCATACATCCGAGCGAAGGGTATTTTCTTAGAGGCCTACTAGATCCAGATCTAGGCTAGTAAAGTTGATCTACGTTCTTGAGTCTCTTCTTTTGTGAACACACAAGACAGAAATGAAAAATGACCCTCTTCAGCTAAACAAAGTAAAAGTAGATCTAACAGCTAGGATGTCAACTTCAACACAAAGTGCAGTCAAAAGTTCGTCAAATAATATCTCCTCAACTATCGAACATAAACTCTCTAGCTTTTGTAGAGTGACTTGTATCAATTTGTCTTAACAGATCAATATTTTTGTAAAGACCTGTTAGCTCTATTTTTTAAAATTCCTTAATGAATACTTACTAATAAAAAATCCTAGGTGGTTATTCTACCGATTTTAAAAGGTTTACAGCTGGGACGATATCGCTTTTAAAAGCAAGTCCGTCATGTTTTTCTAATCGCTGTATTATCTTTATTGAACGCATGCTTTGAGAACTTTTAGTTAAAAAAAGTGTTCCACTATAAAATTTCTTTCTTGTAACTGTTCTAGTTTTGCCACTAAAAAGTGTCATTGGTGAGCTGAGACGCAACCAATGCGTACAAAATGTGTGTGAGGAGCGGGAAGTGCTGTGAACAATTCTATTTTTTAGTGAAGGAGTTTTCTAGTATTTTATATATAAATTTTAGGCAAGCGTTATTTGCAACGCCGCAACAAGTTATAACAATGGGAAAAATTTGTTGGTCAGTCGAGATAAAGAAGACAAAAAAAACAAAACAAAAAAAAAACTCCCAGGACCGGGATCGAACCCATGCTCATAAAATAAAGGTTTGGCTTCAAACGCAGACGTGCTGTTACTTCGGCCATCAGAACTTCCGTTAACGAAAGGTAGATTAACTTTATAGCCTAGTCTAGGCTAACACATGGCGTTTTATTTAGCACTGGCGCTAATCGCAACGCAGCATTTTATTTAGCACTGGAGCTAATCGCAACGCGGCGTTGCAAATAGGCACTTCCTAAATTTTATAAAACAAAAGTTTTTTAAATCTAGATCTAGATCTAGAATCTAGATCTAGATCTATATCTAGAATCTAGATCTAGATCTATATCTAGATCTAGATCTAGATCTCTATCAATTGTTGGGGAAAAATATGATTACGTTAAGACAAATTGAGACAAGACAAACTACTGAGCAAAGTATGGGTAACGTTGATTAACCCGTTATAAAGATATTTGAGGACAAGTTGCCCCACGAATTTTTGACCGCACTATAGAGTCTAGATCTAGTATTAGATTCTAGATCTAGATTGTAGATATCTATAATCTAGATCTAGATCTAGATCTAGATCTAGATTCTATACTATAATGTACTGTAGTGTAGGCTATTGACAGAGTCTAGATCTATGTAGAATCTATATCTAGATCTATATCTCTAGATCTAGAGATCAACCCCTAGATCTAGACTCTAAATACATTTAACTTTTTACCTCATTTTTAAGTCTTAGATCTAGATTATCTAGATTCTAGAACAAGGAGTGTCTTACCCAAAACGAAGAATTGCCGCAGAAGCCGACCATGACGACTCAAGATTCAACACACCTGAGAAAGTACTGCTGTAGATATATTAGTCGTAGATGATAAAACCTAGAGAAATCTAGAATATAGATCTAGATCTAGATCTATATCTAGATTCTATATCTAGATTAGATCTATATATATCTAGATCTAGTAAATATACCAATTCATCACTTCCGAGAACAGAATGCTGAATCCGTGAAATCGCAACGGTTTAGCCTAGCCCATCCTTGTTTGTAAATAGTAAAACATGACCACGGCAGGCTTTATCTTCCCTTAGCTACTGCGACCGACAATGACAAATGACAATGAACAATGGATGAAGTCTTGGAATGGAATGAACTCGTCCGTTGAAAGTGGGTGACGGGTTGCCCTCTCTTTCCAATAGCCAAGGCTAAAACAATAAATGAATGATAATAGTGACGTGGAAGTTTCTGTGACACCCGCGTTGGTCTGGGCTATGTTAAAATGTAACAAAATATACCATGGAAGATTGGAGAGATATATTGAAATAAAGAGATTATATGTTTTTTTGCTTTTGGCATTAGAAACGTTGGGAGCATAAGGTCGATTTTTAAAAAGACTGCTGTAAGAACAGTCTATGCGAAAGTAATGTGCAGCTGTGAGCCCCTACCCCCTCCCCACCCACCACCTCCAACTCTATCCCAAAGTAAATGAAAGTTACTCCATATGAAACAAGCAGTTGAAACCGTTATAACCGCACGCAATGAACACAAAGTAGGCTAGGCCTAATCAACTTGGCTTCTTCCTTGCTTATCCAATCACTGTTGTCACCGCTTACAACTATAGTAATCCAGCAGCCAATCAAATGTGTTTAGGGCTCAGCAAAGATGAGCCCTTTTCCCACAGCCCGTTCTTAATGAAACTCTTCTCGTAAAAAGGTAGAAGACTGTAAAAAATAACACTGTACCACAGAATTCTACACTGTACCGAGGGCTCACGCTCTCCTAGCCCTGACAATGACTGACAATGGGGTGAATGGGGTGAACGTTTACGACACACTCTCCCCCACTGACACAGATACCTATGCGCTCATTGGCAGGGCCGTCGAGAGCCTGGTCGGGCCCTGGGGCTACAATCACCTTCGGGCCCCTCCTCCCCCCCCTGCCCAACCCACCCTCACCTGCAATTTAATAACCTGACAAATACAATGTACATCGGCATAATATATTTAATCACTTTACTGTAGCGTATCTATGACATACCAACATACTCTCTCTCTGTCTCTCTCTCTCTCTCTCTCTCTCTCTCTCTCTCTCTCTCTCTCTCTCTCTGTCTTTCTCTGTCTCTCTCTCCCTGTCTGCCTGTCTCTTAGACACACATCTTCACTACCCTTGGAAATGCATTTTGCGAAAGAGATGTTTGAATAAAAGCTAATCCCCCCCCTCCTCCCACACAAAAACCCCATCCTCCTTTGTCTCATCCCCCTCCATCAAGTGGTCAACATAAAATGAATTTTAATTTTTCTGATTTACCTGGTAGTTAAAAATGAAGTTAAGATGAATAAACCAATGACAGAAAGTAAAATAGATTGAAATGTAGATTACCTTTTTTTTCTTACAACAACGGATCTTAACGGGATTTAGCTCTAGCAAAACTGCCAATTATTGGTTCGTAGTCCAATTTTCGCGCTAGACTGGCCTCTATGGTCAAAATTCCAAGACTTGAGAGTCTGTCTTGACGCATTGCGGACCGCAAAATGTTTTTTCACCTGAGAAAGGGTACTGAAGGAACGTTCAGCTAGCAAAACTGCGACAGGCAAGGTGCAGAAGATTCTCAACATGATTACAACGTTTGGAAACAAAGCATCCCGTTTCAGGGAATGCAGTCTCTTCAGCAACTACTGAAGAGGCAGCAGGACATTTTCTCCAATGTTCGCTGAATGAATCACTTTCAAATGTTCTAACTCTTGCGCAAGGTCTGCTGATGCATCCACTTCATATTTCGTGTGAAATTTGTTTGCAAGATCACGAATAACGCCGACTTCCTCTTGGAGATATTTCCACAAAACACTAAATAACGAATCGGGTTTTGTCACTGCATTATACCTTGTCTGCAAATTTCCGAGAAGGCAGTCAAAGAGGACTTTAAAAACTTCATGTTTGAATTTGTTCTCGGGATTTTGGTAGTCTGTTACATCTTCTGTCTCCTCTGCAAAAATCTCCCTTTTTTTTGTCATTTTCTGTTTCAGCAAATAAATGCTCAATCTCATAGTTATCTGCTACTAATTTGGACTCACTCAAGATTGCGTCCCATTCATCTCGTAAGCTTTTCAGGTCGTTAATCAGACTCTTGATATTTGCCAGCTCAACGTCAAGTGTTGCTTCTCGTGCTTGAAGCACTCTATATCTATGATTGATTGCTGTGAGGATTTTGAGCCAAACAGATGCCATTATCACATATTCAAATGATGCAAAGTACTTAAGAATACCAATCAAATCCGAACGTGTTTCTGGGGGGAGGTTCATTAAAAGAACAGTTTGAACAGCTTTCCTCAGTCCCCCGATTTGAGCCGCAAAAGGCCTGACACTGTCAACACGTGCTGACCAACGTGTCTGAGACATACTGTGCAAAGAGCTGGGAATGTTTTACTTCAAAATTTTCCACCTTTGTGGACTGGAGCTAAAAATGTTATACAGCTTTTGTACAACTCCAAAGAAAGTTATGACTGTTGAACAGCTTTCTGCAGAATGCACACCACTCAAATTCAAACTATGACAGCCACAGGGAGAGTATGTGGCAAGTGATCACTGTCTTAAAATGTGAGCCTGTGCACCATTATACAGACCTCACATGTCGCTACCGTTGTCATAGCCTTGGCCTCGGCCGTCTGTAGTAGGAACGTTTTTTTTAAATTCAGTGTATCAAGGATAATTTTAGCGATGTCTTCTCCTGTTTTTTTTTTACAATCTTCTCATTTCAGAAATCTCTCTTCTACTTTGTAGACATATGTATCACTGTCCAAATGAACATAGCGCAACATAAAAACAGTTTGTTCGACGTGTGAAGAGTCTGTTGTTGCATCAACGATACTGGAATAATATTTCGTTACGCTCTTTCATTCAAAATCACGTCTGTCACTTTTGATGCACAACATTGGATGAATTCATTTTGACTTTCTGGTGATAGATAGTGAACTTGTAGGCGCCTTTTTCTTTTTGTGATTTTTCAACTTTTGTAAGATGCTCTGCAAGGAGAGGATCGTAAAGGCCAATCAATTCCAGAAGTCCAAGAAAGCACTAACAAAGTTCTGTGAAGTTGTCAGATATACAGCGGGGGCTCTCGTGGCCTAGACGTTAAGGTGTTGGCCTCTCATTCAAAGGTCCCGGGTTCGAATTCGGGTAGCGACCGAAACATTTTCTTCTCTAAAATGGTCTCCTTTCACATCCTTTCCTGCTCTCTAGCAAGATTCTGTCGTCTGCTTTCGTCTCCTCTTTCTGCCCCCATCCCCTCACCTCCTTTGCCCCCAACTCTGGGCTCCAGACTCTTTCTGCAGCCTTTCTACTGCTACTCACTGACTCATTCTTACAGCTGTCTTTCTGCTGCACCCCTGATCTTCTGGTAACCATCTCGGACAAGGGCGAAAAATCTCGGACAAGGGCGAAAAATCTCGGAGGGCCCGTGAGCAAGTTGCGCACGTTAAAGATCACTTGGTGGTCTAAAATCGATACGAGTGGGCTTCGGCCGCCACCCGGGCAAAAATCAAAATTTCCAACCAACTAAAAGTATTAGATGTGTCCCGTGCGCTCATATGACTGTAAGCAGTTGCGAGCGCCGTAAAACACTTACCAAAATAACAACAACAACAAAAGAATGATATACAGCTGAACTTGCAGCCAAAATATATTTTATTTCAAAGCTTTGTACGGTACTCTCTCTCTCTCTCTCTCTCTCTCTCTCTCTCTCTCTCTCTCTCTCTCTCTCTCTCTCTCTCTCTCTCTCTCCCCCCCCCTCTCTCTCTCTCTCTCTTTCTCTCTTTTTTCTCTCTTCCCCCCTTCCTTGCGGGCCCCCCCAAACCCCCGGGCCCCGGAGCATTGCCCCCCCCCCCCCCTGACCCCCCCCCCCTCTCGACAGGCCTGCATAGAAGATATTCATTATTATTGTTGTTGGGTATTGATTTCATATTTTAATGGAGCCTCTCGATATTTACATTTAGACATCAGTAGTCTTATAGTACTTAGGAGACGAATGGGCTTAAAAACATAAACAAGTCTGACTGACTGATTGAACTCAATACGCTAAGGTGAGTTATATGATTAGTAAATATATGAGATAAATGTAGAAACGTAGACTCTAGATTTAGTCACGTCAAAATATAGGTCTGCTGGGCATAGCATCTAATTTGCACACACAATGGAAAGCAATATATACTTTAAATTAAAATGTATAATATGTATATATATATATATATATATATATACATACATACACACAGGCACACAAACACACTCACACACATAAGAATAAGAATAAAAATAAGAATATTTTAAAAAAATTAAGTGTCTCGGCCTTTCTTCTGGGGTGTTGTATCCCTTTTAGCCCGGGTTGGCCTTGGCAGGTAGCGCCGGAGCCAGCCTCTTATAAATGTTAATGATCTAAACTGTGTCGCTGAGGGCATAAAAACACTTTCATTCAGATTTTTTAAAAAGGAAAACAACACCTGTGAAAACTTCTGTCCACTGCAACATCATATCGGTTCTTACACTTACACACAACACAGGTGGAAGGCATTTTTACAAACTGACTACACGGATCTCGGAATAAAACCTTCTTTCTTATCTAGATTTCAGTGCGTGAGTCGGGCAGTCGTGCAGCGCAGGTAGACCATTGTTAAGTTCCGCTGAGGAGAGAGGGCTCTTATCAGGCGTGCGGTGCCGCCCACAGAGCATCCTCCATTACTTATAATCTCCTTGGTGTCATCCCAGTGCAGTTGCATGCTGACCAGGTTGAACTTTGAGAAAAGATCTGTGAGGAACGCAATGTTGTTCTTGTGTTCTTTTAGTTTATAACAGAGATCACAGTCTGTTTCTTGAAAGAAAAAACAAAACAAAAACAGCACAGAGTCGAACAGGTAGATCTAGAACAATTGTGTTAAAACTGTTTTCTTTTGAGAGCCACCGGACTTCAGCGTGCAAAAGTAAGCATTGAAAGTCCTCGTCATTTTCAGGGCACAGTTGTTGGAATAATCTCGAATTCAAAGCGTGGACTTTGATCTTGTTCACACACTTGATGACAATGGCCAGTGTGTCATACAGATTATCACTCAGTCACTCAGGTTCTTTGCCATTAAGCGCTGTCTGTGAAAGACG